GTTCAGTTTTGTATAGAAAAAAAGAGGATTTGGGCAAAAATCCTGATTTTTTTAGGCGTTTTTCGCTTAAAAAATGGCATTTTTTTATACTAAAATGAGAATAAAATTGACTTCAAATCAAGTGGCGAAGGATCTGCCTGATAGAGGAGCGCAAAGGTGGGTGCACATCGAAATGGTTCAGTTTGGTGTTAAAATAGAAGAGATTTGGGCAAAAATCCTGATTTTTCAGGCGTTTTTTCTTAAAAATGGCATTTTTTTATACAAAACTTTTTTCTTAAAAATGGCATTTTTTTATACAAAACTGAGCACAAAATTGACTTTAAATCTTCATTCAAGTGGCAAAGGAGAAGCTGAATTGAGGAGCCCAAAGGTGGGTGGACATTGAGATATTCCACTTTTGTATTAAAATAGAAGAGGATTTGGGCAAAAATCCTGATTTTTTTAGGCGTTTTTCGCTTAAAAATGGCATTTTTTCATACTAAAGTGAGAATAAAATTGACTTCAAATCAAGTGGCGAAGGATCTGCCTGATAGAGGAGTGCAAAGGTGGGTGCACATCGAAATGGTTCAGTTTTGTATAGAAAAAAAGAGGATTTGGGCAAAAATCCTGATTTTTCAGGCGTTTTTTCTTAAAAATGGCATTTTTTTATACAAAACTGAGCACAAAATTGACTTTAAATCTTCATTCAAGTGGCAAAGGAGGAACTAAATTCAGGAGCCCAAAGGTGGGTGGACATTGAGACATTTCACTTTTATAATAAAATAAAAGAGGATTTGGGCAAAAATGCTGATTTTTTTAGGTGTTTTTTCATACAAAACTGAGCACAAAATTGACTTTAAATCTTCATTCAAGTGGCAAAGGAGAAGCTGAATTGACCCCAAAGTTGGGTGAACACTGAGATATTTCACTTTTATATATAAAATAAAAGGGGATTTGGGCAAAAATGCTGATTTTTTTAGGTGTTTTTTGCTTAAAAATGGAATTTTTCCATACAAAAACGAACACAAAATTGCATTTTTCCATACAAAAACGAACACAAAATTGACTTTAAATATTTGAGGCAGCCAAAAGGAGAAGCTGAACAAATCATTTGTGTTCTGGGCCAACAGCAAAGTTCATATCAAACATCTTCCAATATTCTCAGAGTATAAATTGAATTTTTTTAATTAATTCTGATTTTTTTCTTGTTCTAATTCTTCTTATTGCTTCTGTTCCAGGTCCAGGGGTTGAGTTAAGCTTGAAAATATGGATTTTTTGGAGTTGTTTTCCTGAAATAATTTAAATTTCCAGCTGAATTTTGTGTTTGTTTGCCTTGCAGTGCATGAGCCTGTCAGGATTGCTTATGACAGACCTCGGGGCTGCCCTGTGACGAAGAAGAAAAAGGTAAAAAATTCACATTTCTGCCACAAAAATCAAATTATAAATGAGACATTTTCAGGGGAAAAAAAAAAATCAGAATTTCCAAGAAATCGCTTTTTTTAAAGGATTTTTTTTTTTTAAAGGAATTTCACTTTTTAAGGAATTTTTTTTTTCAAGGATTTTTTATTTAAAGGGATCTTTTTCTGCAGGAATTTTTTAAAGGAAATCTTTAAAGCTCCTTGAAAAGAAGGGAATTCCTGTAAGAATCGTTTTAAAAGAAGGATGTTCCCTTTAAAAAATCCTTGAAAATCAGGGAATTCCTTTTAAAAAAACTTCTTGAAAAGAAGGAAATTCCTTTAAAAAATGAAATTCCTTTTAAAAACTCCTTGAAAAGAAGGGAATTCATTTTAAAAACTCCTTGAAAATAAGGGAATTCCTTTAAAAAAACCAAAATTCCTTTAAAAAAACTCCTTAAAAAGTGGGAAATTCCTTTAAAAAAAACCCTTTAAAATCCCTTAAAAAACAAAAAAAGAAATTCCTTTAAAAACTTCTTATAAAGATGGAAATTCCTTTAAAAAAACTCCTTAAAAAGTGGGAAATTCCTTTAAAAAAAACCCTTTAAAATCCCTTAAAAAACAAAAAAACAAATTCCTTTAAAAACTTCTTATAAAGATGGAAATTCCTTTAAAAAAAACTCCTTCAAAAGTGGGAAATTCCTTTAAAAATCTCCTTAAAAAGTGGGAAATTCCTTTTAAAAAACCCTTTAAAATCCCTTAAAAAACAGAAAAACAAATTCCTTTAAAAACTTCTTATAAAGATGGAAATTCCTTTAAAAAAAACTCCTTCAAAAGTGGGAAATTCCTTTAAAAATCTCCTTAAAAAAAACAAATTCCTTTAAAAACTTCTTATAAAGATGGAAATTCCTTTAAAAAAAACTCCTTCAAAAGTGGGAAATTCCTTTAAAAATCTCCTTAAAAAGTAGGAAATTCCTTTTAAAAAACCCTTTAAAATTTCTTAAAAAAAAAAAAGGAAATTCCTTTAAAAACCTCTTTCAAAAGTGGGAAATTCCTTTAAAAATCTCCTTTAAAAACCAAAAATTTAAGGAAAAAAATCCAATTTTCACCCCCCAGACCTCTGATTCCCCCCCCGTTTCCCCAGTCCCGCTCCCTCCCTGAGGAATTCCCGGATTTTATTCCCGCAGAAGCCGAAGGATCTGGAATTCTCGCAGAAGAAGCTGAGCCCCAGGAACGTGGGGTTCCAGATGTTGCAGAGGATGGGCTGGCAGGAGGGGCACGGGCTGGGCTCCAGGGGCCGGGGCATCCGCGAGCCCGTGCACGTGTAAGGACCCCCGGGAACGGGGGGGATAGCGGGGGAATGAGGGGGTTACATGGGGGGATAAAGGGGTTTTAATGGGGGGAATGAGGGGTTTTTATTGGGGGATTATAGGGGTTTTTATTGGGGTATATAGGGGTTTTTATTGGGGGATTATAGGGGTTTAAAT